CGGCTGGCGGGGCCGGGGGGCCCGGTGCCAGCCCTGCCTGCACCGGGGATGCATCCTGCCTGGTGCATGGCCCCCGGAGGAGGCACATGGGCCTGGCAGTGCCCCTCACAGTGCTTTGTCACGCTGTGGCCAGTGCAGGGTGACATCAGATGCGGCAGTCGGGACCATCCCTTGAGATGCCGGGGCAACCGGGGGAACTGATTTTGTCTCCTTGTCCCAGTGGTGCCCAGCCACGTCCCTGCATTTTTTGGCCAGGAGCACTCTCCTCAGCATAACCCGTTCGTTCCAGCTTTGCTACGGAAGCACCTGGGACATTCCAGAGTAAAGCCATGGAGGGGACAGGGGCACCTACAGGATGGCACCTAGCTCCAAGGGGAGAGTTGTGTCCCGAGACAGGGAATGCAGCAGATGGGCCAAGGAGCGTTCAGGCCCCGCCCTGGGAGCCACCTCTGGGGGATCTTGGCTTGGGACGCTGGGGCACAGGGGCTTCCCTGCACCCCAGGGAAGCTGGGGAAGGAGGTGCAACATGTGGCTGCAGACTTGGAGTTGCCCCTGCACCCCGCTGGGGGACATCGCTCCCTGAGACCCTGATCACTGCTCTGCTGGGGCCATGCACGGCAGGGACCAGACTCCCCTGTGCGTGTCAGGGCAGCAGACGCTGGGCAGGGGTGTTGGAGTGAATGACTACAATGGGCCCAGCATGGTGCCCCACACCCCGCCGTGTCCCCATGGGACCTGCCTGCCCATCCTGCCCCTCATGGCCCCACTCACCGGGGCTGCTCTGGGGCTGCATGTCCCAGCTCAGTGCAGGCAGTGGGCTGAGGAGCCAGCGCAGGGCCAGGGGGTGGCTGCACCCAAGGACCCTGCGCTAATGGATTTGGAGTTTCCAAGGTCAGGCTCCCACTGCAAGCAAGAAAAACATTCCCAGGGAAGGGCCATGGGAAAGGGGCCCCCCCGTGGCACTCCCAGCCCCAGCCACTGCCTCACGGCCCAGCCTGGCATCCCAGGCTGCTTGTGTGGGGAGGTGGCTGTGTGCCCCTGAGGAGAGGTGCTGGGCGAAGGCTGGGCCACTCCAGCTGTCACATCTCTTGGAAGGGGTGCGTGGGGTGGCGAGGGTACCTGGCTGTGTGTGGAGAGGATGGGAGAGGGGGTCATGCATGGTGTGCAGGAGGTGTTGCAGGGTGCTGCAGGGTGAGGGAGGGAGTAGCATGCTTTTGCAGGGGCAGGGAAGAGGTGTGCCAGCTTCCAGCTGGCCAGCTCGATGCCCACCCCCTCCCCTCTGCATGGGCGCTGACCCCCACCTCTGCACTTGCAGCCAGCATGGAGCAGCGAGCGGGGCCACCAGAGCCGAGACCTGCAGGACCCACCACACACCCACAGCCCAAGGTGAGCCCAGGCCTGCCTGGCCTCGATGGCCGGGTCCCCCATGTCCCCATCCCCAGCTCATGGAGCCTTGTCCCTGGTGTGGGGACCCCGGTCGGGGCTCACCCCGCTGTGCTGTGCTTTGTTGCAGGAGGGAATGCTGTGGGGGCTCCTCGCTATCCTCTCGCTGCTGGCTGGGCTGGCCACAGGCACCCTGCGAACACCACACTGCAATGAGACGCTGGACGCGTCCCCCACGCCGCGGGGCATGGCCACCACCAGCCCGGCTGTGGAGGGTGGCGTGGAGGTACCGCTCACCGCTGCCTGGAGCCAGCTGTATGGTGCGTTGTGGGGCAGGACCCCCGGCCTGGGCATGGTAGCCCCAAGCATAGGGCATGGGCGGGTTGGAAACCACTGTGGGACCCCCAGTCCATGAGGGGCTGCCTCTGCATATCAGGACCGGGCTGGGTGGGCTGAGCACACCAGGCCCTGTGCTTCATGCTGGGAATGGTGGCAGAGCCCTGGGGATGAGGAGATACTTGGCTGGGCACCCACCCATGGCACCACTCTGGGGGCACCTAGCCAGTGCCAGGTGGGTGGTGGGTGATCAGGGGGGTCTGCAGGTCACGGTGGGGGGCAGGCAGGCTTGGCAGGCCCCAGGAGGGCGGTGGGTGCAGGATGGGGTCTGATGGTGCCGTCCCCTCCATGTGCAGGGGACAACGTGACGACGGGTGGCCTGGGCGCTGCGGAGCTGGCGGAGGACCTGCTGCTGCGTGCCGAGCGCTCCCCGCCAGGCACCAGCAAAGGCAAGAAGAGGTTACAGAAATCCTCACGGGCAGCCCGTGGGCGCAACTGCCACATCCGCAACCTGATGGTGAAGGTGCGTGACCTGGGCCTGGGCTTCAACTCAGATGAGATTGTGCTCTTCAAGTACTGCAGCGGATCCTGTCACCGGGCGCGCAGCAACTATGACCTGACGCTGGGCAGCCTGCTGCGGCAGCAGCTCATCACCCCGGGGCCGCAGGAGCGGGTCCTCAGCCACCCCTGCTGCCGGCCCACCCGCTACGAGGCCGTCTCCTTCATGGACGTGCAGAACACGTGGCAGACGGTGGAGAAGCTCTCGGCGGCCGAGTGCAGCTGCATCGGCTGAGGAGGGGGCCGCCGGCTCGGCCCCGGCTCGACACACGCCCGTAGACCCCAGCTCGCGGGCAGACCCCAGCTCGCCAGGCGTGGTGGCACCGGCACTCAGAGGAAGGGTCTGGCAGAGGCCGGTGCTCCCGGTTTTACGTGGCCACAAAGGACTGAGGCGAGATGGAGCCGCGATGGGGGGTGGGCGGCTGAGCCCCCTCCCGCTCAGTGCCAAGCAGCTGGTGCCACTGGCTACGCGGGGTCCTGCCCGGGTGCGCCCCGGCTCAGCCCTGGGAGAGGAGCCGGGTGGGGTACGGAGCACCCCTGCAGCTCGCAGGGCTCTGCCAGCCC